TTGCATCTCACCTATAAAAGGTTTATGTGACGTATACTCTGACAAAAAAAAGATGAGGTTCGTATACCCCGTACCGAACACAAGACAATTAGGCTGGCGTCGTGTTGATTTATCCCTTGTTAAGATTTCATACTGTAAATTACTGTCAGGTTTGTCAATTTATGACTATTTGTCTGTTAGACGTATTTCAGGGTGTGTGAGGTCAACCTTGTATATGTTTACGTAAAGCCTTAATGCTTTAATTTTGGCTATTGCTCAGTGTTAATATATCCTTAAACTTCACCAGTGTAATAATCGTATGTTCAGCACCGTGACACTGATTACAGATGCTGAATCCCTTTACACATTTGAACTACGGGATCGATTTATCCTTTGTGTTTTAGGAAGAAGGAAGTGTACCCAGGTATTGTGCTTGCGTGATACAGTGGATGAACAAGGGCGATAAGTTTGTAGGTGTGTGTTGATTCAGTGATTTTGATGTTAACTATTTTCCTTCTGATATCAGACCATTTCAATCAGTGAAACGAGAACAATACATATGACTTTTTAGTTTAGTATGAACTGTTGGCAGATTTTCGGTTTTTATTGGGATATTATATGGAGTGCAGCTTGTATCTGTTACATTCATATGCTGTCATATCCCGGGGTATAATCGGTCGCCATGCTGCTCATCACATCGACCACTGATCCGTCTGGTCCAGATTCGGATGTTTCTCTGACTGCGGGGTAAAACAATACCCACTTCTATACATTGACGCTATCGTATCAAACATATAGGCATAAACATAGATCTAATTTGAGCTCAGTGTTGCCATGACAAGTGTAGAATACAGAGTTAACTATTGTTCTTGTTGATTTGTAATTCTGATTCGGAAGTTCCACCTGGTAAACAGATTTGACGAATATATAGTAAACCGCAAAAGAAACGTCACCATGGATAGATATATGAGAAACCTTATTTGTCCAAACACTGTAAACATACTTTGAGACATAATAAAAGAGAGGAAACTTGTCAAAACTGTTCATCAAGGTTGAAATTAAAGTGTCAAATGTTCTTAAAGTGAAACACAACACTAGTCTCTGAGAAAATGGCATCACAAGTCAGTATCTCGTGTGTCCGCCATGTGCATTGATGACTGCCGTGCAACGTCGATACATGGAATGAATAAGGCGGTTGATGAAGGCCATGGGAACTTGAGCCCACAATCTGAGGAACGCCTGACGCAGTTCAGCTGCAGTTGTCGGCCTTGGTCAGACGTCATTCAGCCGTCTTTGAATCTCGTTCCACGGGTGCTCAATGGGATTCAAATTGGGACTGAGGGCAGGCCACTGCATGGTTTTGATGCCATTCTGCTCGAGGAAGTCTCTCGTTGCTCTCGCAGTGTGGACAAGGGCGTTATCATGCTTGAACTCGTGGTTGCGGCGATGTGCCAGATGAGGTATGGCGTGTGGTCTCAAGACTTGATTAATGTACTGAGCTGCTGTGACACCATTGCCTCTTCCTGGACAGATGTTCTGGAATACCACAGGGCCGACCCTGTGTGCAAGACCAATTCCTCACCACACCATGATGCTCGGACCACCCAACGTGTCTCTCTCTCAACAACACAAGCATCCGAATAACGTTCCCCACGTCATCGCCAGACTCTCTCTCTCTGCCATCTGCTGTTGTGATATAGTAACGGCTCTTGTCTGAGAAGAGGACTCTTCTCCACTGCTGGTGGCACCAATGTTGGTGCTGTGTTGCCCACTGAAGACGGTCCCGGCGATGACGTGGTGTCAGAATGGGTCCTCTGTGTGGCCTGTGACATTGGAGGTGTCTGCTCGTCAATCGTCGACGCACGGTGTCCGCACTAATGTGTCGTTGGTGTGTCCCCATTGTCTGTCGAGCAGTTTCCGCAGCAGTAACAAAATGATCTTGAAGATGCTGTCGCACAATCTGACGATCCTGACGTCGGGTAGTGACCCTTGGTGTTCCACTGCGTGGTCAGTCATCTGTAGTGTTGGTGGTCTGGTACCGTTGCTGGAGCCTGTATATGGTCCTTACGTTGACTTAAAATGCATTGGCTACTTGCCTGGCTGTTTGTCCACCTTGCAATCGTCCAAGGACTTGGTGTCGCTGATTTCTTGTCAATCTCGGCATGTGGTAGCAATTCGATAACGAATGAATGTTATCCGATCTGGTGGATTTTTATAGGGCAAGAAATCGGGGAAAGGAACTGCATTTCATTTTGCACAGAACTCACGTGCATCAGATTACCATGGCCGTTGCCGTGATGCGTTTGGGCGATCGGTTTTATTGTCATCTGCTTTGTTTATTCATCATCAAATTATTTTTTTTCCGGACAAGGTAATGTTAAACTTTAGAATCTTTGCCAAAAATTACCCAGATATTAAAATGACAACTTTTCATGCAATGTTACTTGGGGTGACGTTTCTTTTGCGGTTCAGTATAAATTCGGAAGTCTCACACCCACGAAACCCAACGCCTATCGAAGGTATTATATTCTAGTGAGCCTCCCTTGTATATACCCCCAAGCTCTGCATTAATTGTCCAACAATCACTGTGAAGGGAATCATCACTTTTGTTCTACATAAAAATATACGGTTTGTCGTTGTTGTGGACTTATTAGAGCGTTGCGTGGTTGTCAATAACGTTGTGGAAAAAAGCTCAAGTTGACAGTGCGCGGTATGCTCCTTGACAACACGACAACGTGCTCTGTCAAGCTGAACAGGAATTAGCGCATGGACGTACAGTTATGTCTGACGTAAATGCGCAATTTGTCCAACAAGGAAATTGAATATTTCTGGAGAAATATCAAGTGACTCACTTTGTTGTTCTGAAGTTAATAGAGTGTGATAACTTTCATTGCCAGCCCACGCGAACCTGTCGTCAAACACCAACATTTTATGGATTTCTATCATGTTTGATGTAATCTACATCCTGTATTAATAGGGAATAAATTCATTACAACAATAAAAAATATTAACAGTCTTTAATGTTTGGCTTTCGTTACTTGATACCACCCAGCAATGACACATTAACATATTATCCTCATACGCCCATATTGAACTTCAGCACAGCACAGTTGGCATGGGCTGATAGGTAGTTTTACATACTACTTTGATCCATACTACTGAACCAAATGGTCAATATACAATTGCACAGAATTATAGATATGTAGACGAGCTTCACTTTATGGCTCTAGAGAATCGACGCATATAAGAACATGCTCAAGGTTAATGTGTTGATATTTAACGACTGTATTTGGCGATTGTTCAAAACAGACAAGGGGGCACGGGTGGCCCAGTCGTTGAAGGCGCCGCGATTCGCTGTGCAGAGTTGCGTCCCTTGGGCACGCCAGAAACCTATGATTGTGGGTTCGAATCCTGGTTCGCCCCATTTATGCACCATACCCGTGCTCGTGGGTTTCACCGAAGTGGAAACCGTCTGAGACCTGCATCACTTCGGGGCTTTCCTCCCACATTAAGCTGAGACGCCATGGTAAAACTGTAATAGTGTTAAAAGCGTCGTTTAACCTAACTCAATCACTCACCAACAAAAGACAAGGCATTTATGTGGTCGCGACCTTTCGGCTGATACCGTTTTCTACATGAAACCTTCGCATCATGCAACATAAACCAAAGGGTTGAGACTACCAAAAGCATGTGTTTCATAGAGAGATAGTCACGTTTAATAGCGAAACTAGTAACTCCATTGATTCCTTTTAATTCATGTCAATTTAGATTTAGTTCACCCGAGAGACCAATTACGGTGCCCTGCTACCAATATGGGTCTTGACAAATCGTTTGTAATAAGAAACACAATCATTTGATTGTAATCATTACCAGTAGTCACAGCGTGAAACATATACTTTTTGGATAGCTCTGCTTGATTAGGTCAAATGCCATAGAGTACAAATGATAGCCATAATGAATAAATGAATTTCTTTATTTTCTTTAGTTCAATCCAAAAATAATACATTATTTACAATATGTTTATTTTTTATTTTACGAGAGTATATACAATGAAAGCATGTGATACAGTGTTCACGAATATCATTTTACAATGTACAATTTGTGAGCAGTAGGTTTTTTTTGTGTCAAGTAGATAAACGACAAGTGTTTCGTTATATTCAATATAAAGGACATGTAGCAAAAAGACAGTATGATGTATTCCCAAGTATTTTAATTCATTGCGTCATTTAAGTCATGAACATCTGCTTCGAGAAACAATAAAAGCATATCAACATCAAATTTATCAATAAAAAAAGTTCTATATATAAGACATAAACTATTTACAGTGCAACATAATGTGACAATCATAGTCATAGCAGTGTAAAAATGCATGATATGTAAGTCTTATCATCGACAATAATATAGCTCATCTGCAATTAGATCCGCGATCTGTCATAGATCTCCCAAAGCCAAAAGATGCAATAGCGAAGGCCTAACTAACTCTATTTCTGAGAGATGGACAGCTACTCGAACGTATATAAACGGAGCGGCCAAAGATAAAAATGAAACTATATCAAAAAACGAAAATAGAAATCATATCAATACAAAAACAGAAATTATGTGAATACCAAACTAGACATGTGTACCCTACTCACACACAGGAGTCCCAAAGAGGGACAGGTCAGCCGAAATTGCTAAGGCAGAAGGCGACCTCTTAAACACAACGACAATAATATCACCAAAATGGCAAATGCGCAAGTGAGACTGACTTTGATAGAGAGTGTGAGAGGCGGACAGCAACAGTACTGTGACGGGTATAGATTTCGTCGCAGAAGCGTACACAATGAAACGAAGTATTGGCGTAGAGCTGTCGTCGGGTGTATTGCACGTTTTTCAACCCGTGAAGACAGACTAAACAAGGTTGAAGAACTGGCCTGCTGGAGACGATTGCCGACAGCCGTGCAGGACCTAAGATCACCGCTTCATGGATTACGGGACAACACCTTGGGTTGAATGGAGGTAGTTCATTCCTTTTGTTTCTGTTTCTTGGGTTTCTGTACTACAGCGTATATGTCTGAAACTGACGTTCACACAATGGGTATTTAACGTGCATCATACATTTTAGTTTGTTTGTTGTTTTACGCCGCACTCCGCACTATTCCAGTGCTTGACTTCATGAGCATCGACCCACACAAGTGGTATAGCATGACATGCATCAACCAAGTCAACGAATCTGATCACCTAAAACCGTTAGCCGCCTCTTACGACAAGCATGGGGTGCTGAAGACCAATTTTAAGCCGGATCTTGCTACATATAGCTTCATTTATGACTACATTATCTTAAACATAGAAAAAAAGGAGTAACATAGATCGAGAGAATCAGATCTAGGCTTTGACATTAAATATATCAGATGAACTACAAGAGCATGCATTACGGATGTGCCTCACCATGTTGAACCTCTGTATGTCTGCTTTTGTCAGGTTTAGCGTACAGGTTCTCAAAGTTGACGTCACCAGATGGAACCTCCTCCTGTGGTGTGTTCGTGTTCGTCACTGGTATGTCAACACTCGCGTATCCATCTGGTGAAACAGTATGATGTTTAAATGAATAGTGCAAATATCATTAGCCAAGAAAACATATCCATTTATGTACGTGTACTGATTAAGCACATATACAGCAGAGCGATCATTGTAGAGTTCAGATCACACTATCTTCTGATTCTTGTAACATTTAGAGATACATGCTAACATGCAGTTACCTGACAACATTAAGTCATCCTCCTGATTCTCAGCTGCGTTCATTGGTTGGACATCGCGTGACCCTTCATACAATTCATTTCCCACTAAAACATACACAATGAGAGAACACGGAAATAAGGCACGTAAATAGGATGTGACAAGGGTAATTGTCAGCTACAGTACAGCGGCAGTATACTTCCAAAATCAGTTTTAATTCTTATACCGTGTTATTCGAATTATGATCAATTGAAAAGCATACCTGTGTTGCTGCCTGTCGTGTTTTGATAAACTGGTGAGCTGGAACGAGAACAGTAATAACTTATATGGAAGACCAAAGACTGAAATAATTTTCAACAAACGTCAAAAAGTACAAAAAAAATGTATGTGTGCGTGCTTACATAAGAATGTGTGTGTTTGTTTTGCGTGCGTGCGTGCGTGCGACCGTGTATGTGTGTGTGTGTGTGTGTGTGTGTGTGTGTGTGTGTGTGTGTGTGTGTGTGTGTGTGTCTGTGTGTGTGTCTGTGTGTCTCTGTGTGTGTCTGTGTGTCTCTGTGTGTGTGTGTGTGTCTGTGTGTGTGCAAATATGTTTCTGTGCGTTCTGTCTGGAATAACAATTACACTTACAGGTTCTCTAAGTTGACGTCACCAGTTGGAACCTCCTCCCGTGGTGTGCAAGTGTTCGTCACTGGCATGTCCACACTCGCGTATCCATCTGGCAATACAGTATGATGTTTAAATAAATACTGCAAATATCATTAGCCAAGAAAACATATCCATTTATGAAAGTGTAATGATTAAGCACATATGCAGCAGAGCGATCATTGTAGACTGATTTCAGATCACACTATCTTCTGATTCCTGTAACATTTAGAGATACATGCTAACATGCAGTAACCTGACAACATTAAGTCATCCTCCTGATTTTCAGCTGCGTTCATTGGTTGGACATCGCGTGACCCTTCATACAAGTCATCTTCCACTGAAACATACACAATCAGAGAACACGTAAATACGCCACGTAAATAGGATGTGACAAGGGTAACTGTCGCTCAGGTTGATTTGCGAGATGTAATGGGACCGTTATAACCCTCAGTATGTACCAGCTGTTTAATAACCATGGAGGATTGCGTGTGTGGCACAAGTGCGTCAATAGCCAACGAACCATGGGTTAGAATAAGGTCCTGTTAAACAGTTACAACATACAGTACAGCTACGGTATGCTTCCAAAATCAGTTTTAATTCTAATACCGTGTTATTCGAATTATGATCAATTGAAAAGCATACCTGTGTTGTTGCTTGTCGTGTTTTGATAAACTGGTGAGCTGGAACGAGAAGAGCAATAACTTATATGGAAGACATAAGACTGAAATATTTTTCAACTAACGTCAAAAAGTACAAATTTGGTTTGTGTGTGTGTGCTTCCATAAGAATGTGTGTGTTTGTTTTGCGTGCGTGTGTTTGCGTGAGTGTGTGTGTGTGTGTGTGTGTGCGTGCGTGCGTGCGTGCGTGCGTGTGTGTTTGCGTGTGTGTGTGTATGTGTGTGTGCAAATATGTTTCTGTGCGTTCTGTCTTGGATAACAGTTACACTTACGCTTTATTATTTCTTTCTTCTTTCATATCATTTTGTTGATCTGGAAGAAAAGGTTTTCATCATTTAAGGAAGTCTTAATATCCTCTGCCGTTACCAAGCATTTCATCCTAACCAGAATCAACTCTGACAATCATTGGATACACATTTATGCCGAAGTTGACGACTATTGCAATGGTCAAACTGTCTTTTAAAACTTGTTTAATTTATTGTACATAATTCAAGTCTAAGTTTCATCTAGAATTATCCTAAATCGCAACACAAATACACACGGGCAGCTTTTCTTCTCCGTCTGATACACACGACGCCCACGACAACGACGGTAAGCAGAACAGCTCCACCTACTGCCCCAACCACGATATAGAGATGCTCATCTGTAAATGCTGAAACAGGATATCACGGTTAGTCAAGGATTTATACAGAACAGCTTGTCATGGGTGAGAGGTTATATCATGTGTGCGATGTGTGGAGAAGTGAGAGACAGTTGAGTAAAAGACTCACAAAAAATAGCATCATAGTTAATTAGTCCCGGAATTATACAGAACAGTTTGTCAGGTTGGGAGCATTACATGTGTGCAATGTATGGAGAAGTGAAAGAATGTGTTGGTTTTAAGGTGTTACGCGGTAAGTCGCAGGTTGAAGACGTTTCTGTGAAATCCACGTGTACGCGTACGGTGCTACAAAACACATAACAAAGAGGGTAAGAATCTAAGGTTGAAGTCCTACAATCTAGGATCACAGACACAGCTCTGACGCGCAATCCTGCACAGCGAAGGTTCGGGCCTTATCAAATATATCGAGTGAATTCGGAATATGGTTTGTTGGACGTTGCGATGACACACATTGGTTTTACCCCTCGGGGATTCCGGGTTAGATTAGGTCCCCAGCTAATTTAAGCTGGGCTGGTCGTAAGAGGCGACCACATGGATCGGCTGTGCAAGATCGGCGACTTGGAGTTTAGCATATACTTGTACACCGACAGCATAGATCGTTGCTCAGAGAATCGTTTAGTTGATTGTCTCGTCCAGGCGTTTCACAACAAACATTGATTTGTTGAATGACTTCTTAGAACATACATATAACATGGTACCTGTAATATTCAGATTAACATGTCTTGTTATTGTCTGACCCTTGCATGTGTTCTCCAATGACTGTGATAAACAGCTGACAGCAAATATTAAACTACTTACTGCATGTATAAATGAACAAATGCGTCATGTCCGTCCCCTGGTCTCTATTCAGAGTATTTTATGTGTTCTAATCTATTAAATGTGTATCTACCACTGGAACGACAGCGTTGTATTTCTTTGCAGTTTCTAATACTGATCGTGTGTCATCGTATATATCGTATAATATTTGGTGCATATTGGTGATGGGTATAATACTGTTTCATCTTTCATAAACTCTGGCTCTCAATGCAAACGGGGCGTTTGGGTAGCCTATTGGTTAAAGCGTTCGCTCGTCACGCTGAAGACCTGGGTTCGATTCCCCGCATGGGCACAATGTGTGAAGCCCATTTCTGGTGTTCCCTGTCGTGATATTGCTGGAATATTGCTGAAAGCGGCGTAAAACCATACTCACTCACTCACTCACTTAATGTGAACTGTCAATGTTACCTTGTACATATTTTCAGTACAATATGCACATTTGAAAGAGAACTACCTATCTTTGGCGGCACTGTATTCGGATCCGATTTAGTTTCTGTATATCGGGTCGTTGTTGATAATGACTGTGTTGACATGACAGGACTTGATGTTTGGTTATCTTCCTCCGTACCTGTAAGTCAAATGCTTATCTCTGTGTACATACTTTAGCTGGAAAACCTAGCCATTCATTTCAGTAGCTCACATATGGGTACCTCCCAATTGTCAGACGGCCCATTTGTCAGACAGTTTGTACCAGGATTAGTCAAGGCTGGTTATTAAAGTAATAGTTACCTGTTTACCTTTCATTAAAGTGGAACAGACCAGAAAACATACATTTTGAGGAATTTCCAGGAGAGGTTTATTATGCACTTTTAATCATCAAATCATACCAGAAATCACATATTTATTCGACTTTACTGTGGCACATATAACACTATTTCACTATAACCTATCATACAGTGGACGGAAATGTTATCATTTTACATAAGAAATACTATTATTATATTATTAGAAAGACACAATATACACTGAAGCGTCTGATATAACACATTTTGATTTTTTACAGAATTTATTTCATTATATTATGGCAAAAGACAATATATTCCTCAAAGTTTTTGTTGTTGTTGTTTTAAGTGTTTAAGAGGCCTTCTTCTGTCTTAGCAATTTCGGCTGACCTGTCCCTCTTTGGGACTCATGTGTTTGAGAAGGGTACACATATCTATCAACAGATAGCGGATCTAACTGCTATTCTTGTTTTAACCAAGACCGGGCTGGGGCGTGGTCTTGAGATTCCAGTTGCAAGTGAGCAATGGATTCAGGTTGATTGCAAGATGGGCATACCTTGTCATAGTGCTTGTTGTGAATTCTCCAAAGTAATATAGTACGGTACTTATAGTACATGTGAGATTATACAGAGGTTATGGAGAAGTTTAGTCTATATAACGTGTTCTAATTCTATCTAACAATGTATTAAATGAATATATTGCAAACCAAACTCAACGGTTAAAATGTTTTATTATTTTTCACTGAGTTTCCTGTAGTCTATATAATCGAAAAAAAACTACTCCCAGTCTTGACTAATAAAACTCCCACAACCCGACACAGACCAAACGCAACTTACAAACACAATCATAATCTGGTTAATCTGTCTCACACAATGAGTTTGGGTAGCTTACTCTGCCCACAGTATAGAGCAGCTCAATAATTTGAAGGTAAGACCAGGCAGTTACACAGGTCACACTCGCCTGGTCTGTCGGATGATTGGGTCGTCTGACAAATGGGATGTTTGACAGTTGAACCCACATAATGTATGCACTGCATTACATAAACGGTGAAGCCGAAATAGACCAACCTTCCAAATACGTTTTCATTTTTATTTGTATTCATTTATTCAGCCAATGACTTGTAATACATGTATGTGAGTCCTGATGCAGAATACAGGTTATTTTCCAATGTCATGTCTTTTGGATATTATCACATAGTTCCGTTACTAAAATGATTTATGGCCATTGGTGATTTCATTTGTGACAATTTACTTTATTGCTAAAGATGTACAAACCAGTGATT